GGCCTTTCTTTCCGAAGCAGATGCTTCTGGCTACAAGCATCTCTACGAGCCATACCGCTTGCATGTCAGTGTAACTCAGCTTTGTGTTGCAAACATTACACAGATAGCTGGCCCTTCACATGTGTAAAGCTGTCCTCCTAAAAAAAAACGAGGCACAGGCAGAGAGAATCTTTGCGGTGGTGCATGCTCACGTGCAGTCACGACTCATGCCCGAGATCATGGCTGATCCTGACTCCTTCCTCAAACTAGTTTGTCGTGGTGTCAGCTTGTGATCTCCGGTCTGGTGGTAAGCCTGGAATATCGCTTCGCAGCTCAGGAGCGGTGTGTGGTGAGCCTTGCTTCCAACCAGGTGGCAGCGAATCTGCATCTAGATTCGGAGTTTGGGTTTTAGTGGCATGGTCCTAGTCTGCGGTGTATGAAGCTTATCCTTGATTGTATGGGTTCTAGTTCTGAGAACGAGGGTGCGAGATTTTGCGATGAAGAAAGATGCTAACATTCATGACTACTTTCCAATTACATGGGTGCCCCTGAGTATCGTATGCATCAGATAAGATTCAACAACAATTTAACAAATCTATGTGCATGTACACACAAAGAACCAACCTGGAGACCTGAGATTGCTGTGCAAGATACTGCTACTGCTGCACTGGTCGTGCCAATCGCCACTACTGCAAGTGCTACGACTACCATACTACGACGACTCGACATAACCACGACTGCTGTGACGACATCAACGACAACGACTATTTTGCTACTAGTACTACTGGAGCTTCTTCTTCTTCGTTCGCTCATTATACTATATATATATATACATATATATATATAGATATGAATATATATGCTGCTACTACTACTAGTACTACTCCTCCTCCTACTCCTACTCCTACTCCTACTCCTACTCCTACTCCTAGTGCTACTGCTACTGCTACCGCTACTGCTACTGCTACTGCTACTGCTACTGCTACTGCTACTGCTACTGCTACGGCTGCTGCTACTACTACTATAGCTACTACTACTAACAACTACAACTACAACTACAAC